GGCGGCAGCAGCAGCAGCGCCGTGAGGGGAGGCATAGCGGCAGCAGCAGCGCCGTGAGGGGAGGGTATGGCGGCAGCAGCAGCAGCGCCGTGAGGGGAGGGCACGGCGGCGGGGGCAGCAGTTCAATGCCGAGTTCAGCATGAGCACAGGCGTTTGTAGGCTGTGGTTTTGTCCTGCTGGGGACAGACAACGGCTTTGTATGGGCTGTACGAGCTATTAAAGTAGTAGCTGGGTTTTCGGTGAGCAGTTACAGTTAGGAGGTCGGTGTGGGCACTTGTGGCGGGAGTTTAGCCGTAACCTCTGTTAGGAAAATTAATCCACAAGCACCAGAGGTTTATGTCCAAAAAGGAGACAGAGGAGTCTCGCAACTTTATTCATGAATAAGGGGAGAGGTTATGGGCATTTCCCATGGGGTCTCTCAAATTCATAGAGGACGCAGCCTCCTTTTATCCCAATTTCTCGGCCGCGGTTCCCTCTTTCATTTCCTGTTGGCTGAGGTACTTGAGAGGTACAGGCTCCCCAAAACGCGTGATTAAACCCCCCTTTTATCATAAATTGCTCCCTTTCAATATACATCTCTGTGTCTTTGCTCAGGTAGTCTATTAACATAGACTGGGGTAAGCCAATCAGTAGAATTCCTATGCAAATCCTTCCCATTGTTTCTTTCTATCTCCCAATTTCAGCCTTATCTCACCCCAGAGTCAGTCTGTTTGTAAAGACACTACCTTCTCATTCCTTTGACCCCTTATTCGGTTCATGTCTCTGAATTTGTTCGATCGCAGTGAGGATAACGTACAGCTGTGTGAAAGTTGGGGTGTTGCAATTCACTTGACATCAACTAGCAACTTTCATGGAGCTGTTTACTGTGGGATGCTAGTGTTGCAGCTGGAGCTTCTGTCCAAAAGTCTAAAATTTTATCWATTGAACTGGGCAAAAGTCACCTCCATATATGGTGAAATTAGACACATATAGCTCCCAGCTCAGTGGATTTCAAAGCATTTACGAAACAGTGAGTAATTTTTTTTTTTATGCTGCTAAAAATAGAGCAGTGGAAGTGCAGTACTCAGGGATAGCACACAGGAAGAGTCACGCTGTCTTTGGAGCTGCAGGGAAAAAGGAGACAAAAGAATTGCCCACACTAGAATTTGTACCAAGTGACAGCTCCACGTTCTGAAAAAATACCTGTATTCTTACTGAAATTGTATGGTCAGGCTCTCACTGGAATATCAATCATTCAAGAGTGTGGCAGTATCCCTGCTATCAAGATGTAGCTGATTCAGAGGGAAACCAGATACCTACTATCAATCAATATGCACAATTTCTCCTTGGATCTGTTCCAAACACAGCTTGTACAGGCTGATACAGGAGGTTTAAGAGTATGGTATGGCTGTAGAACAATTTTTTCAAAAATGGTTGAATGAGTGATTTACAAATTTAACACAGCCATTGCTGAAGCTATCAATATAATCTGTTTACTTCTTAATTACTTAATTTTATATGCTTATTGATCAGTTTTCATGTCTTTATAGGCAGCATTTATAAGTTGTATGCAAGTTTCTTCATTCTTCCCCATTTCTGATTTAAAATACATTGTCTTCATAGATAGGTACTCATGCAGACTAGAATTGTAAATTTTTTAGTATAAATGTACAACATGGAGCATACTAGTAAAATCAGATGTGATTGAGATGATCCTATATGTTTTGATGCAAAGGGCTTTGGATATAAATGTCTGTCTTGGACATACTTTTTTTTATATGCTTTAAAAATAGTTTTGATCTATTTAATATTGTAGATTCCTCTAGGTATGTAAGTAAGAAACTTTAGAATTTAAGCCTTCTAAAATACTATGAACTTGTTCTTTATGCTTTTATTTCAAAATTAGGTCAGGATGAGTGAATTCCATTTGTATATATAAATGRTGTTACTGGTTTAATTTCTTCCATGTTGGTGTTGCTTTCATTATTATCATTATCATTACCATTATCATTATTATTAAAAGGTTTGTTCACTAGTGGAAGTGACTTATTTTCAAGGGTTTTTTCCTCCGTTGAAGTAATGGTGAAAGGATTACCTGACTTTCAGATTCTCAGATTTCTACTTGGCCTACAGAGAATATGTWGAACATCTGTGAAATCAGTTCCCTGTCATATGTGTACAAGTTTGAATGAATCTCCAAATGTTTTGATACCCATGATGAAATCAATAAATTTAATTAGAAGACAAGCATGGGTTCTGAGTACATTCTTTGTAAAACTCCTTGAAGCAAATATTCAGTTGGCCACTTGCAGAAAATACTTGCACTGATGTGTAAAGTCTAGCTAATAAAAGCTGTTCCGGCAAAGCTCTAATTTCAGGGTAAAAGCTTGTAGTTTGAAAATTTTTGTATGAAAGTTTTCAGGAGAGATATCAAAGCAGGTTAATAACAAAACCAAGGTTTTAGTCTACTATTTAAACATGTAATGAGAACAGTTATTCTGTTACGCTCAACAATAGGAACTTCAGAGTTAGCCAATTTATACAGTGTAGTCACTATTGTTTTTGAATTATTTAGCTGCTTTAACATACAAATATTAAACATACAAATATTAAACATACAAATTTGGAAGATGATGCTAATGATGTAAATATCATAGAATAATTAAAAACAATAGATAAATCACACGTATCTTTCCAAGGGAGCAAAAAGAGCACTTTGCCTACTGATAGAGATGGCATTTCCACCTGCATTTYAGAAAATGGAGCATCATCAGTGTTATTTTTCAGACCTTATGACACAAAGAGCTTCCTGAGTGCTATTACAATCGTGTATGTTCCTTACCTGCAGGTGCCACTGCTGTTTGGGAGCCTGGGTTTTGCATTGTAAAATATCCATGCTGGTAGAAAGGCTCTTTTAACGTAAGGACAGGCATTGCTATGGTTACAGTGAAGACACATTTGGTACTATTATTTTAATGCACAGGAAATACTCCATCCCCAGGCAGGATAGATATTATTATCCCAGTGAAAGAAAAATCTTYATGAGTATTGTATGTGTAACAATGATAAGACATATTCCACAATATTAGCAAAGCATGTTCGTCATAAATTAAAGACAGTTATTTAGGGCAGTGGCTGCCATCTGGTTATTAAACCACCAAATGATACCACCTTAATTCACAAATGCATGAATTTTACCTAAACTAGTCTAGTCTAACTGWGTATGTCTGATACATTTGCTATATCAGTGAAGTATATTTACTGATATACAGGCAGGCTTACAACATTTTAAAGACTGATTCTACTGTATGTAATGCTAGCTTTGTTAATTGTTTTCCTGAGCAACCATCTGAAGATCACTACTCTTAGGAAGTTTAGTCTTGGAACCAAATAGAAAACAAGCAGTGAGTACCAGACTTTGAAAATGTGTATTCTGGTAAGAGTGCCTAAGGGACAATAGAAATATTTTGCGCAACAGACCTTACACAGTAGGCTCTTGGTTTATCTTTCAGGGAATGATGCAACTGAATAGGAATGTTTGAGAATAGGATTAGGTAAGAGAATTTAAGTAAAATAAATGTTTGGTGTATGAAAAGTGCCTTGAGCAATGTCATACAAAGATGACTGACTCCACTGAGAAGTACAGCTGCACTCACACAGTAACAGATGTCGTTTATTGGCTCTAAAAATAAAGCTGTATTATAATCTCACTCAGAAAGATTGTATGTGAATATATATGTTTAAAAAAAAAGATATTTTAGCCATGTTTTGGTCAGACCTTCAACTCTTTTGTAAACCTGCAATTTGTGACAGGATTATTAAAAAAATTCAGTTTCTTCACCAGGGAAGTACACTATGTAATTGTCTAGTGGAGTTTACAGTTTCTCACTTGCTTTTTCTAATTTTTTCTTATAGTAGTAATACAGATACCCTGTTGTTTGGATTGAAAAATTAYAGCAAATATCCTCCTTACTATGTTACTATGGAATAACAAAATTTACAGTAGGAYATTCAGACAATTACAATTCCTAGCACTGCCTGCAGGTCCTTTTCTGCTACAGTCTTCAATCCAAGCATTCTTAAAGCACTCCGGAAGCTGCTAGATAATTTAAGGAAAACCGAGACATTTAAAACAAATTAGCATAAGAGACTAGATATAAAAATAAATAAATCTATAAATGCACCAAAGCAAAGGAAAAAAWTCTTTTTTCACMTTGCAGTTGAGTACATTGGAAGTCATTTTAGGATAAGGTAGARTTATTGCTGAGTTAAACATTTTATTCTACTTTACTAAGCAARTGTGGCAGCAATGTAATTTTTGATGTCTGGATATTACACAGCAGATTATTCTGGTGCAYAGTGTCTGCCAAGCTAATTAACTGTTCAATAGGGTTAAGTATAAGCTTTGGTATTTTTATTTTTGAGGCAGTCTGGAATAGTTTTTAGAGCTTTAAGGTAATACTTATTTTGAGAAATAAGAGCAAATAGTAACAAACACTTCTAAGAAGTGACAAGGCATTCATTACCACTTACTGGGAAGTAAGTTATTAAACCTGTAATAAATATGGTACAAATTTTCTCTTAAAAGCAACACATTTCTCAATTTTGTTTAACAGTATGTTGGCAGGACTTGAAATGAACTAGTCTGATAGTTTGTCTTGGTCTTGAAAGGATGGTACAGCAAAGCCAAGAGCCATCTTGGGTTGTTTTTTCCCCCCAGATCGAAGCCAGTTAAATTGCTCTGGCCATATTTTTTGATCCTTTCACAAAATATAATAAAATCAAAGAAACATGAGTTTGCCTGTGATATACTTTAATAGGCATGTTATAAGCACAGAGTGAGCAGCAGGCTTATGTATGCWTCAGCTCGTGRTTAGTATTAAGTTGTCATATTTGATCTTCAATGATGGCCTCCATTCTTCTTTGGAGGAAAGAGTGTATATTCAATGCCCAGAGCTATGACGAAAGCTGCAACTCCCCACTTGAGTCCCCTGGTAAAGACTTCTGTTAAAGTGATAGGTCTTGAAAAGCTACCCATGTATCTCCAGACTTCATTACTAGAAGGAAAATGAAACCAAAGGAAAAAAGATCAGTGGAGCCACTGTGATGTACATTAACAGGAATATATATATATATAAGAATGATGAAGGTATTTCAATTAGATAGACATTGAGGCTGTACAATAAGTTCTGCCACTTWAGTATCAGGAGTTACAACAAGTAAAGCTCACAATATGAACTCTAACCCTTTACACACATACTTGAGCTAAAAGTCATGCCAGCAAACAACAGTTACAGGAACAGAATGCCCTCCCTGAAATCATGTAATTGTAGTCTTTTTACTCTGCAACAAATAGAACCCATTAGCACTTGCATGGATTGGACTAATTACAAAGGSTAGTCACTGTGCTAGACAGCATGTAGCACAATCAAATCTTACAAGGAAAATTTTTCTAGATAGAGATAGCTCACCTTAGTGTGCAGGCACTTTGTGTTTTACAACACTGAACTATACTAAAGTCAGATGATTTAAAAAAGAAAATTGAAAAGATTGTGTTTGGCTTGAGCTACTAAGTATTTACAATCTTCACACTGTTTTGCCTTACTGTTTCCAACCTACATTGTTATTGAAATGTTAGTCACCGCTCTGACTATAAATATTTATTTGTAGCATAACCAGTGTAATCTATGGAAATGGATGTAGTTTGTCTCTTGTAAGGAYTCAAAAGTCCTAAAGAAAAGGAAAAAGAACCAAGCAATAAAATCAGAACTGTCATTTTGGGAGAAGATATAGGGGTTTAAAATGAGGGGTGCAGATATTCCTCTTGTGCAGATGGATTTTGTGACTTGGGATGAAAGCATACTTGCACGGAAGAATATCTTCTAGGTGCCAGTACAGGGTCTAATTGATACAGACTTAGAGTTTCCAAATATGACATCTTTCACAAAGTTTATATTGTATTTGATATGTACCTTAATGTGCATTTGCCATAAAGACTGAAAGCAGATTCCCTGCTAAAATGAACTCAACACAGCAAAGGGGAGGGAGCCCTAGAGAGGGTTACTTTTTCAAGACTTGTGGTGCAAGACATTAATAATGCAATATTTTTCCACTTGAAGCAAGTAATATGATACTTTAATTTCTCATTTGTTAAGGAAGATTGGCATGATACTTGTACTGTCCTATGGAATTTAAATACTACTTACRTAACATTAAAAAAGTTCAGAAGGAATAATCTCATGCTTTGGGTTTGACTTTGTTCYTTATTTGAACCCTGATATGACTGGCTCAATCCCGTTCTTTTAACACAGAAACAATAATTTTTTTTTTTCTTAGAGGGCAACAAATATTACAGTCTCTTTTCCAGTGTATTGTTTTGCAGCATTTCTTGAAATTAGAAGTGTAGGCACTAAAGGTCATGTTATTTTACACTGAATTTACAATATTAAACTGCATCCTTTTTTTTTTTAAATGGGAATAAGCCTGTTGCTTGCTGAAAATAATTYTGTGTGAACCAAAGGGAAAGAAATMTCATGCTGCTTGCACTCCACAGAAATGGAGGCAAGATACATGTGACACAGACCTCGAAAGTTCATTAAGGGCTGATACTTCAAATTATTCCTATCATCATTAAAGTATATTTTACTTTATGTTCACATCTTTATTCCAAAGAAAAGAAAAAAGTGCTGTAAACCTCAAACCCCTCCACAGGTTATAGCATATAATAACAGATTACCTATTTGCTCTTCCATTTTTCTTAGTGATTTGAAATAAAACCTTTTMTMKGAAGACTCCTGGAATATTTTGCTCMTGCAACTTTTTCCTTACAGAAGGACTACACAGCACAAAACATTTGGTATTTTTATTCCCCAAGATGAAAGGGTGGTTGAACAAAGTATTGCATAATTAATAATGTGGGAGAAATACATTAARCCCTGTTTTAACAGCTGCCTAAATATCTAAAAATGAGAAGATATTCATTGTAGAGTGGTAACATGAGAAGTAAAAATCTGATTTTCCATTATGTCACTCACAGCTGAATGCAATTCCACGCTGTATACATGTACATTTCTTCTTTTCACATRAAGACCTCCTGTTGTATATGAGGAATACTGTACCTACTCAGAATATCAGTGCAAGTTCCATCATCTTCATCAATATCTGAGGCACACAAGAGAAGGACAGGCTTACTCACATGTGCTGACCTTATACTACTTACATGTCTTGGTGGATGAGATATTGGCCATTGTGCCTGATCTGTGTCAGCATGAAACATGATGAAGTGCAAGGTTGCCATACAAGGTGTGGAGACTGATCAAGGTGATGCAACAAGTAAACAAGGACTTAACTGAAAGTGTGACTAATTTTCACTGTTTTTATTGAAGAAAGAATTATCTACAATAACAAGGTCTGGTTGATGCTCCATGTGACACCAAGATTATTTTGGAGGCACTTGCACTTACCGAGCCCAGGGATCCCTCAGACCCCGTTTAGCCAGCCTTCTCTGCACCTCCTCTAGTGGGGTTCCCTCGACTTTCCACTGCCTGTAGTCAGGGAGTTCCACTTTGYCATGGCCATGGCCATGGCCGTGTTCACTTCCATGTCCCATACCTACAGCAGAAGGTCAGTTTGTTACTTTGCAGAGAGCATCAGCTTATTTTTATACACTTGCAGAGAACAACCTCCTGTACAGGAAAATTAGGGAGGTATCAAGAAGAAACAAAGAGCTCTGTTCTATAAAACAAAGAGCCAAGGGACTTTATGCTCCATTTCAGAAGTTGGTGATTACACACAATAAAGCAAATTGTGCAGACTTAAGCATTACTGTGTTGTAAGTCACCGCCATCAATACACTCATGGAGTACCTGTGTCAACTTTCTATGCCAGGAAAGAATRTAAGAAAACCAATGCTTTCCAGTGCCTATTAATGCACTTCAGCAATACCAGCCCCCTAAACTTSCAGGCTTTCCAGAGTAATCAGAAATTTCTGACTTAGGTATGGGAGAGCTACGATTGCTAAGCTCCGAAGAAAAGTCTGAGAAAAATAAAGACTTGGCTCCACTGCTCTTTTTCAACTGTCTCCAGTTCAGTCAAATATAACTGTGGCAATCAACAGGTCCAGGT